AAGCTGAGTGCAGATGACATTGGGGCTGAGGTGGTTGAAACGGCCGGTGATGCATGCATTGCTTGTGTTGGACCGTTGGCCAGCCGCATTGTTGAGAGCTTGAGCTCATGGTGTGAAGGAACAGGATACACCCCGAAGGCCTTCTGTGACATGAATGGAAGCAGCTTCTTCAACGCGATAATGTCCATCGGTGAGGAGGCTTACCTTGATGCGATGAGCACAGCTTATGTAGCAGGGGCAGGGGTAGATACGGATGCTGAGGGTTTGGGAGCTTCGGATGAAGAGCTAGGAGGAGATGGCGATGTAGCGCCCCACGATCCCGAACAGCAGCACCCAGATCCTGAAAACCAGGAGCCAGAGCTAAGCCCTGCAGATCGCGAACGAGTGTGGTTGGAATCCTTGCCACTCCCAGGCACTCCGCAAACAGAGGCCAAGCGAAGGGAGGCCTGGAGGCGTTTGCCCCAGCGCGTTCGCGTGGCACTTCGTCGCTTGCATAGGTCCTTCAACCACCCCACTCCTAGGACGTTGCAGGCCATCCTGAGAGCAGGAGGAGCAGCCAAGGAGTTCATCGAAGCGGCCAAGCTCATCAAGTGCGAAAGCTGTGAGCGCACGAGCCCCAAGCCCAGGTCACACCCTGTGGGGGTTGGCCACGGGAACTACGTGTTTGGGGACACGGTAGGAGTGGATGTCCTAGAGACGACAGACTCAAACCGTCGCCGATATCAGTGTTTCAACGTGGTAGACCTAGCAACGGGCTTCCAACAGATCGAGTTGCTGAGGGAAGTCACCAAGGACAGTCAAGGACCTCCTCCGTCAGAGATGTGTCTTGATGCGTTCCAGAGGTGGATTACTTGGGCGGGCCTCCCGCGGACCGTGATGCTGGACAGAGGTACTCATAACAGAGGAGCCTTTGTGAGCTATCTCACGGAGAAGGGGGTGGACATCAGGTTCGCCGCAACCGAGTCGCCCCACATGCTCGGTAAAACCGAGAGGCACGGAGGGCTCGCGAAGGCGGTCATCCGAAAGACCGTGGCAGGCGTGAGCACCGTTGGGCCTGAGGCGATGAGGAGTGTGATCCAGGAAGTCGTCGCCGTCAAGAACATGTCCATGAACGTGTCGGGTTTTTCGCCTAGTCAGTGGGTGTTAGGTCGCAACCCGAGGGAACCCGGCACGCTCACCGACGAGGACACCTGGAACGACATCGGCGCCATGGAGGGCAAGTTCAGCGGTGCCGAGGCCTTTGCTCTAAGACAGAAAAGCCGCATCGAAGCAAAGAAAGCAATGGTGAAACTGGACACCAGCCGTAGGATCCAGAAAGCGCTAACAAAGAATGCGGTACCGATCAAGGAAGAGTACAACACCGGTGACTATGTCGTGTATCGGAGAGACGCCCAAGCGGGCGGCACGAAATGGAGCACGACATCCAGGGTAATCGGTAGAGAAAGCGCAGAAGCGATATGGGTGGTGAACGGAGGGGTCCCAGTCCTTTGCTCGACTCACTCGCTGAGGCCGGCATCTGAGGAGGAAGTGCTGGCGCATTGCCTTCTTAACGGGATACCTGTTCTACCTGAGACGCTTACAGAGGGTCCTAAGAAGAGAAAGAAGGGATACGTAGATGCGAGAGAAGAAGAAGAAAAGCCGGAAAGGAAATCGAGCAAGCCGAGCGCATCAGCTAGGAAGAGAAAGCAGGAAGAAATCGAACCTCCTGAAGCCCCAAGCTCGAGCTCAAGTTCAAGCAGCTCATCTGATGAGGAGGACCAGCGCCCGAGCAGAGATGTACAGGCTAGTCAGGTGGTCGTGGATGTGCTCCAGGAAAATGAGGCGGACGTCGTGCAAGGCACGATGAACATCATCGACTCGGAGCAGGACGCCATGGACGCATTGGAGGCAGGTGATTTTCGCCCAGCAACGTGTTTAAGGCTCCTAAATGAGGCACCCTTAGTGAGAAAAGGAAAACGTGGAGCTGTGAGAGATGGACGCGCCTACAGCTTCGGAGTGTATGCACATGGCGGGTTCACGGGGGTCACCGAGTCGACGAAACGACATCCGAACTTGGTCAGTTACCTGAATGGCTACATGAAGGCGAAGGGTGCATCAGGCATGTGGTCATCGCTCCAGATTGGTAGGGACCTAAAGGCTTTGCCCCACAAGGACTCAAACAACCTGAAAGGCAGCATGAACCAGATCACGACATTGGGAAATCACGCAGGTGGCCAATTGTGGCTGCAAAATCAGGACGGAGATGTGATGATGAATGGAGTTCCAGGCCGTGTCTTGGAGTGCCATAACAGGATAGCGTCTTTCGATCCCAATGAAGTCCACGCTACCTTGCCTTTCGATGGAGAACGATGGTCAATCAGCGCATTCACAAGTAGGGGAATCATGAATCTTGGGGATCGGGAGCGGGACATGCTGAGAGAGTTGGGTTTCGGCATCGAAAATGACTGCGTTCCCGTGTCGTGTCTAGGAAGTGTTGAGGAACCACCCAATGACGTGAAAAAGGAAGAGACCTCGAGAGAATCGCCTGAACGTATGGCAGATCTGATGGGTGTGTGCGGAGACGAGGACCACTGGAAGGTTGGTCGGAATGTGTGCTTCAGAGTACATGTGAAGCCCCGTCGCTTGATGTTTGACCCCAAGGAAAATGATTTCCCAGGTGACCTCGGCAAGATTGGCTACTCTAGGGAAACCCATAGGTACTTCGAGGACGGCACGAACGATGTCGTGCATGACGAGTGGGGAATGATCCAAGAAGCAAATGGAGCAACGAACTTGGCGTGGACCGGTTTCAGCTTGTTTCGTGTCCGGAGCGAAAGCCCGGTTGATCTATCGAGTTTGCCCGAGGTGAAGATGGATGATCCGGAGTTCCGAGCCTTCATGGCGGAAAGGTTTGGTATGGAGGTGGAAGCTCAAGCGGGCAAGAAACCCCGGAAGATAAACGTGTTCAAGTGTGAAGACCACGTCAAGGAGGGGATCAAAGGTTCGCGCCGAGATGAGTGGAACAAATATCAAAAGTATAACGCCGCGATACCCATCCGAGGAGAGATGTTGCGACAACTCCTCGATGAGGGTCACAAACCCATACCGTCACAATGGATTGATGTTGACAAACACGAACATCAAAAGGGGAGTGCAGATTATTCCCCGAAATATCGCAGTCGCCTAGTGGCATGCGGTCATCTTGAGGCAGTAGGAAGGGACGAGCTGCGGTGCGACAGCCCGACAGCAGATTCCGAAGTGCACTGTCTCATCGCGAGCTATGCAGCATCGCGGTGCCTCAAGTTGTATTGTGGCGACATTTCGAGTGCATACTTTCAATCCTCGCCTTTGGAGCGCGTGCTGTTGATGAGGCAGCCAACAGGTGGACTACCCGATGTGCCCGAGGATGCCATGCTTCTATGCAGGCTCCCGATCTACGGGACCATTGACGCGGGGCGCGGGTTCTACAACAGATTGAGCTCGGAAGCGAAGACGGAAGGATTGACAGTGAGCAAGATCGCTCCGGGTCTCTACTACCTGTTGGGCACTGATAACTTGCCGGCCATCATCCTCGCAACGCACGTGGACGATCTACTATGGTGCGCAACGCCCGAAGGAAGCGACACCATGGAACGAATCCTGGCGAAGTTTGACGTAGGAAAGATAGAGCACTCAGATTTCAGGTTTTGCGGTCGAAGATTCCGGCAAGGTGAAGACTACAGTGTGCGTATAGATGCAGAGGACAACACGAGACAGATCAGGAAGATTGTGATCCCGGCAGGGCGCAAGGCAAGTGATCACGCGACCGAGGCAGAAGTGACAAGCCTCAGGAGCGTGGTAGGATCCTTAGCTTGGGTAGCGCGTTTTGCCAGACCAGACCTTTGCTACAAGGTGAACTGTTTGCAACGGGCCTGCTCAACCGCGACAGTGGCTGATCTCAAAGAGGCCAACCGCGTTGTGGAATTGGCGCAAGCAGATCAAGGAAGATCGTTGTACTACCCAGCCGGAGCGTTGAATTGGAGTGATCTCTGCATTGTAACGTTCTCAGACGCTTCATTCGCACAGGAACCAGGTTTCCGAAGTCAACAGGGCAGGCTGCACTACTTGACGGCAGAGAGTGCGTCCGACGGCAATGACCACGTCGCTCATGTCTTGAGTTTCGGATCGACAACGATCAAGCGGGTGTGTCGCAGTACTTTGGCATCGGAGACTTTTGCCATGCAGACGGCAGTGGAGAACGGTGACCGTTTGAGAGCAATCATCTGTGAGTTACGCGGACAGTTGCCAAGCCTGAAGGGATGGCTAGAAGAGACTCAGAGGCAGATGAAGCACTTATGGGTCACGGATTGTCGAAGTTTGAGCGACCACCTCAACAGCCAGCAAGTGAACAAGGTGTCGGACAAGCGACTCATGATCGAACTTACTGCAATGAGGCAACAACTTTGGGATGGTGAGACAGCGACATGGCAGTTGTACAGTCCACATGGAGACAGGCTTCGCTGGACGGATACTGCAACCCAGATCGCCGATGCCCTCACCAAGTCGATGAAACCACATCAGCTATTTCGCTTGATGGAAGAAGCGAGTGTGCAGCTATCAGATCCCGATCGCAAGCTCACCAAGAGTGAAATCCAGAAGATGACTACAAATGAGTGACGGGAACAAAGATGTACAGACATCACCGTCAGGAATAGTGAGCTAGCAGTTGCCAAGGAATCGCAGTCTGGTAGAGGCCTATCTGTATAGACACTGTATAGTCACACTCAGAATTCAACCAAAACCTCGAATGAGCCCCAGGCACGCATCAATAAGTAAGACGGGTGTGAATATCACCTCGATTCTTGCATGTATAGCTTGAGTGCGTGCCTTTTTCATGTGTAGTTCTGAGAGCAGCAGCAGTTTGCATGTTGTACATTCTGTTTGCTGTTGCTGTTACCTCTCGAAGGGCCCTTGAGCTGTGGCAGAAAAGGTAGAGTCCGAAGCGCGAGTGAACGCTAAAGTTGTAAGGCCACAGTCGAGCGATGGCGGGACAACGTGATGAGTCTGGACACTTCTGGGATTTGTTGACACAGCTGGGCCAGTGCCATCAAGCTGAGATCGATTCGCTGAAATCCACATGCATCTCCTCACATGGCCTGCCTGACGATTTTACAACTGACAAGGCAAGTCTGATGGAATCTCACCACGAGTCTATCGAGTTAGCCCTTACTTGTATGGGACAGAATGAAGTCCACGTGCCGGCAGTCAGAAGCTCCAGTGAGGGCAATCGTGGCTTGACGCGCTCACTGAGCGAAGCCTCCATAGTGTCAGTTTGCGAGCGCAGCGGTGCGCCATGTACATCGAGACCAAGTATGAGGGTCAGCCACACCCTGACCGGAAGAAGTCAGATTCTGGGTTGCAGTTGGTTCTTTTTCAGAGGCTTTGTTGCAGCGCAAGACCTGATGAGCCCCCATGTCCACGCTTGCAAAGCCAACCCAAGACCCCCCCCCTCCCCCCCCCTCAGCTATTGTTGCCAGGGCGAGCAATTGGAGCAACGCCAGCCGTAGTGCCAACCTGTCGGACTTCTTCTGCCTTCAGCACAAGGTCTGGAAAAACCCATGCTGACCTCCGTATTCCCCATCGCCCTGTGACCAGGAGGAGGACCATGCGCGGGCCGTGGGCCATCAGATGCAACAGCAGCCCCTGGGCGTTCCAAGCCATGCCCCAACTCTCCTCTTGTTCCAAGAGGTGTCCAAGCCAGAAACCTGCACCTTGTGCCAAGGCTGGCAGGCGGCAACTCCTCACACTCAGACAAGGACACAGTGTACGCAGATGTGCGCAGATGTACGCAGCGTAGTGTGCAAGTCAGTGCGACTGTCGAGCTGCAAGAGTTGGAGATGGTATTGAAGGGCACTTCAAGTCCCCCCTTGCAACACCGGAGACCTGAACCCCTAACCCCATTGCCCTATACCCTGAACCTCTTGATGCCTCCCGCCTCAGGACTCGGACCGTGAGGAGAAGCTTGTCTTCCAGCCGTGGCAGGTATGGTCGGCTCCCGAGCTGCCCAAAAGAGGACGCCGCCGACCAACGAACCGTTCAAGGGTGCGAAACTTAACTTAAACATCTTCAACCACAGCATGTCAATGGGCTGCATTGAACTTCACAGGCCCTTGCAATGTGGGGGATTGGAGGGTGATGTTCTGGCCTCAGAACACCCTCAAGCCGCAAAGGTCGCACGGAAACGGCTATAAGAGCATGTCCAACTTGAGTTCAGGAGTGCGACGGTGTTGTTAAAGTCATGTAGCCGATGTTTGGGGAGCTCGCTGCGTGGACACCGTGTTGTCTTGTCTCAAAGCAAAAGCGGATTTTCGGTCCTCTTCTTCCGTAGACACATGAAGCGGCCCTTCCCCAACAATGATATGACACACGTCCTACGTGGTCCCATCCGGCACCACCTCGCACCCCGCACGCGTCCGCACCTTTTGGCCCGCCCCAAACCGCCCCCCTCCCCGGCCCTGCTACGACTTGAGCCCCGCACGGTCCGGCTCTGCATACGGCGAATGGTTCCGCTGCAAAGCACGCGCCCCGCTGGGTCCCCATCCCGAAGCGTCCCGGGGTGTCCCCATTCCGTACCGTTCGGTGCAAAGCTCATTGTCCCGCATGGCGGAACAGCTGGAACTTCTGGGGTGCAAGCTTTGGCGGTGCACTGCCACGAGCGTCAGTGGATGGCGTGTGGCTTTACTGGATGCAGCCTGTACAGGACGGGCTGGACCCCGCGGATGCGAGCGGGGCATTGCCTCGGCGGTGCGGGGCGCTCCGTCCCGCGGCGTCTCAGGTCCCACCGCCACAGCTTGGACCCCATCCGCTGCCAATTTCAAAATTCACAGCGTCCTGCGTCCCGCTAACGCTTGCACCGGCTCCCGCTGCCAAAGCTCACAGCCCACAAGGTTGCTGTCCAGGAACCCTCGCAGCCTGGTTGTCATAAACAAGAACCCCCAACCTGCGAGGGGGGTTGTGGGACAGAAAGCCTTCAACATCCATAATATGGCCTATACTATTATTATTATTATTATTACTACTGCTATTACTATTGCTATTACTATTTTTGTTATCATTATTATTGTTAAAATTACTATTAGGTCCTATTCCCATCCACACCCGCAGGTCTTTGCCTTCGAGAGAGGCTGGCTCTGAGAAGCCAAGCACCTGGAAGGCGCCAAACAAAGCAGCAAGAAGCTTCTTCTAGAAGAGTCATTTCCAGTGGTGTCATGTGGTATCCTATCACAAGTGGGGCTCGTTCTGGGGGGTGTTTATGTGCTACGTTCCGGATGTTCCCTCATGAAATATTTCGTTGAGTTCGCGCATGACGTGAGCACAAGACTCTCAATGGTGTCTTTTGGGATTTCATGATCTAGATAAACCCCGTATGACTCCCGTGATGGGGTTGGGTCAACTCAAAACGGGTTCAGGATGTGAGGGGCTTACGAGTTCCGTAAGGTCTCAGGGTCATGAAGATTGGATTCTTGGGGCCTTGCGGAGGTTCCGCCGACACATCGAAGCAAGCTTCGCTCTTGTGGCTGAGGTGTTGTCACCTATGGGACGAACGAGGTTCTTGTGGGACCTGCTGTGCCTGGGCGTCGTGTGCCTGGAGCTCCTTCTCCTCCCTCCGCTGAGGGTGTTCCTTATCTTTGTTGCAAAAAAGGAAAAGTCACTTGTGGGAAGAAACGCACCGCCAAACGTAGAAGTTCCGAAAAGAAACTTGGCTAACCTAGAATCATCCAGGTTTGATGGCGCAGTACCGTTCGCCAACGTCGCGCGGAACGTGTTGTGGGCAGCGCAAGTCGTTTGGAACTTCCACATTCTTGTGTGCCTCAATACGGGGTATTACTTCCGTGGCCACTTGGTGTGTACCCAGCCAGGACTTGCAGCAGGCTACTTGAAGACATGGTTCGCCTTTGACGCTGCGAACATCATTGTAGACTGGCTGCTTGCAGCCATGGATGTGTCCCACAACCTTGCTAGCCGGGTGGCCCTGAAGGAGGTGAATGCTGCAGTGCGCGGCCTTTGGACAATGCAAATAGCCCTGCGACTTTCCCGCCTGGTATCCCTCCGCGGCAAGCTGCAATCGTTCAATAGGCACTTATCCGACAAAGCTGGAGCGAGTTCCATCATAGCCCTGACAGTGGGCCAAATCTGTCTGATGCACCACGTCTTGGCATGCTTATGGTATGGTATTGGGATCCTCGGGATGGATGGCAGCTGGGTACAGGCAAATGGCCTGGATGGAGCCAGCGTGGCATATAGATACGCAACAGCACTGCATTGGACCTTCTGCCAGATAGGCTTGGGATCTTCAGAAATAGAGGCGGTGAACACGCAGGAGCGTCTGTTCTCCTTGTTTCTTGGCTGTGCTTGGACACGGTGATTATCGTGAGCATCTAGACCAACAGCCGCGAACCTAAGTGAAGCTATCGATTGCTTAGGTTCGTCGTGTTTGCAGCTGTCTTGGTGCTCTCTACACTGCTGGTTTCAGTCACCAGCATGGCCACCAACCTGAACAAGGTGCCCACTTGGAGCTGAAAGTTGTGACACGCTTGCATCACTCCCGGCCTTCATCCTTCCTTCATCTTTCCGTCAGCACAGGCAAATGAGAGGAAGCAGGATCTCTTCCAGCAGCTGTGGAAGTACATGGAGCAACACCAGGCATTTGGTGGGCTCAACCCTCAACCTCAAGCTTGTCAGTGTTTCTTGCGAGCTGCATGTCACAACTCACTCACTCCTGAGCGGCCCGACCCTGATGTTCCATGGAGCCCCGCCCCCCCCCCGCCTCGCCCCTCCCGAGGTTGGAGAAGATCTGAAGATGCGAGTGTCGGCCTATCTTGAATACGCCTATACGCTGCGCCAGCCGCTCGGACCTGCTTGAGATTTCTGCAAAAGAGGGATGAGGAATCCTGTATCCTTATTTACAGAGCCCCTCCCGGCCTTCCTGTCTTGCAGGAAGTCGTGTTCCAGGTCCCTTGAGCAAGCCAGGTCGGTGATGGTGGAGACGGAAGTGCCCATCTTGGACCTACTTTCCAAGCAGCTGCACGCGGAGCTGCAAAGCTTCAGAGACCAGGATGCACCCGGCTCAGAGTCCTCCCTTCCGGATTCTTACAAGTTGTAGTTGTGCAGAACCGGGGGGGGGGGGTTTCCGAACTGAGGGGGGCCCTTATTGGGGTCCTTTTGAATAGGGGATCCTACTATTTGTGGGTATTTTCAATGTGGGTCCCGTATTTTGGTAAACCCCCAAATGTAGCGCGGTCTCAGGATACCGGAGATGCCTCCGTAAGCTGGACGTCATGAAGCAACTCCGCGCCGTGGACCAGCATTCCTTGCAGGTCATCCGAAATCTCCCGAGCCAGCTCTCCCACAGGACCGTTTTGGGGCTTGGGATGTTTCCCCGTGTGCTAGCAGTCCTTCAGAGGGATTTTACTAGGGGGGTACGATAATTCACTAGTAAGGGCCGTTCGTACAAGGGGGAACGTCCCAAGTTGGGGCCATCTCAATGGCCTGCAGTGTTGTCGTCCTTTCCCCTCTTGGTGACCTGTTTTTCAGGGAGTCTTCCAAAGAGGTTTAGGGTTTAGGGTTTAGGGTTTAGAGTTCAGGGTACCTTCTAAAGGGGAGTGTAGCATATCAAGGACCTTTGCCCCAGCAGATACGGTCTTCGAATGCGGCTTGCTGGCCAAAGCGGCCTACTTCGTAGCAGAGGGCGAGTTCGTCTACGAGCTGAACGGGACACTACTATTTAGCATGCAAAATAGTAATCCCTATATTGTCCTTATGAGGAAGAATATTTTGTGGGGGTTCTTCAGCACCCTAAACCCTAAATCTGAACTCTACACCCTAAACCCTAAACCCTAAACCTTAAACCCTAGTAGGACAAAGACCTCCGTCGCCAACGGCCGGTGGGTCGCCGAGATGTGTCTCTGGACTCCTTGGCTTCACCTGGGAGACCTGACCCTGGGTTTTTGATTATGGTCAATTTCTGGTCGAGTCGATAGGCTTTCTTTTTTGGGGGAACATGGGGTTTGGGGTTTGGGGTTTAGGGTTTAGGGTTCAGGGGTGTGGGGCACTGCAGTTGACTCTTCTCCAGTTGAGTCCTTCAGCGAAGTGCAAGGACCACGAGGGACGTCGCCGCTGTGGTGATCTTGGATGCCACGCCCTTGAGTATGGAAGAAAAAAATATAAATATATATATGCTACCCCCCCCCGGGTTATCCACGCTTTTTTGTGGTTTTCCACGCTTTTTGTGGTTGCGAGCCAATTAGATCGCTCACGGGCCGCGGTGACCCCTGAACTCCCCCCCCCTCTCCTCCAATAGCCCAATCCCCTACATAACGTAAATGCATGCAATCCTTGAGATGTCGAGTCCTCTCCATCTGTCCAAACACAGGGCACAGCGACCTTCTCCCCTCCCCTCCCTTCCGCTCCGCTGCGCTCCCTGGTTCTTGCAAAGGCTTTTTTTCAGGGCTAAATCTCTAAACCCCTATCGGTTCAGGTTTAAGTCTTATAAAAAGAGAGGCACTGAAACCCCATAGGGTTTAGGGCTTCAAGCCGATAGGGTTTAGGGTTAAACCTGAACCTGAACCTTTAGATCCATAGGGTTTCAAGGTTAAGCAATTACACCTAAACCCTTAACCTTTAATCCTATACGGTTAATAGGTTTGAAGATTTTAAGATCTAGGTATTTAAACCTAAGCCCATAGAGTTTAAACCTCAAGGGTTTACGGTTTAGGCATCTAAACCTGCACCCTTTAGGGTCAGAACCCTAAAAGCCTATAGGGCTCTACCAGGCTGAAAAGTTTTAACCGCATAGGCGCTGAAGGTATACATGCCCAGACCTTAGGTTTTCAAACCTTTAAATCCCATAAAGTCTAAAGGTTTAGGGTTTTTCAAGGTATCTCTAAAGCCCTCACGGGGTTAGCCGGATAGGGTTTAAACCCTATAGGCCTATAGGGTTCAACAGTTTAGGGCTTTAGGTTAAGGCATTGCCTATAGGATTAGAGCCTGAAAAACCCTATCAGGCTTGAGGCTTAATTCCCTAAACCTAAAATCCCACATGGTTTTGCCTCTGTTTATAGGGCTTGGTGGAAATGCAAAGAATAAGCAGAATAAGTACCCACACCATGTATCGGGTTCAAAAGTTTAGGGGTCTTAAAGGTTTATAAGCCCATGGAGATAAACCGTAAGGGCTTACGGCTTAGGCATTTGAATCTAAATCCCAAGCCCTTTTGGGTCAGAACCCTGAAAGCCGATGGGGCTCTAAAAGCCTCAAAGGTTGTAGCCCTATAGGCTCTGAAGGTATACATGCCCAGAACTTAGTTTTGTAAACCTTTAAATCCCAAAAAGTTCATCTCTAAAGCCCTCACGGGGTTAGCCCGATAGGGTTTAAACCCTATGTACCCTATAGGCCTATAGGGTTCACATGTTATGGTTTAAGGTTGAGGCATTACCTCTAGGATTAGAACCTTATAACCCTGTGTACGACTCACCTTTACGTACTATTTGATGGTTCTGTTTCCCCTGTTAAAGCTTCAAAGTTTTTAAAGAATTTACTAAGACCCTTCAATTCTTGAAAACCCTGTAAACTCCTTAAAATACTCTGGCTTTCAACTGTTTAAGGATGTTAAGGAATGTAAAAGGCCACTTAGATACTTTAAAATCCGTAAAATTTTGAAAAAAACCAATTATTTTGGGAAATGCCCGGCCCTTTGAATTTTTAAAATCCGTACATTCCTTCAAATCCTTGAAATTTTGAAACAAAATAGTTATTTTGGGAAACGGCCCGGCCCATTTAAATACTCTGACTATGGTTTCAGCACCTCTAGGGCTACAGCCTTCTAATCTTTAGAGCCCTCAAGGGTTTTTAGGGTTCTGACCCTCAAGGGTTTCGGGCCGGGTAATGCTTAAAGCTTAGACCCTATAGGGCCAAACCCTATAGAGCTAACCCCGTCAGGGTATTAGAGATAGTCTCCGGGGAGCCCTAAGGCTTTGGATTGAACTTCAAAACTCGGGACCCTGGATTCAAGATCCCGGGGAAACTTTTCCCTGGAACCTTGAATCCTGAATCATGAATCCCGGAGTATTGAAGTTCAATCCGGAGCATTGAACTTCAATACTCCGGGATTCAAGATTCAGGATTCAAGGTCCCAGGGAAAAGTTTCTCCGGGATCTTGAATCCAGGGTCCCGAAGTATTGAAGTTCAATACCCGAATCCAGGGTCCCGAAGTATTGAAGTTCAATACCCCGGATTGAACTTCAATACTTCGGGACCCTGGATTCAAGATCCAACACTTCGGGACCCTGGATTCAAGATCCCGGGGAAACTATTCCCTGGAACCTTGAATCTTGAATCTTGAATCCCGGAGTATTGAACTTCATTCCGGAGCATTGAACTTCAATACTCCGGGATTCTAGATTCAAGATTCAAGGTTCCAGGGAAAAGTTTCCCCGGGATCTTGAATCCAGGGTCCAGAAGTATTGAAGTTCAATCCGGGGTATTGAACTTCAATACTCGGGACCCTGGATTCAAGATCCCGGGGAAACTTTTCCCTGGAACCTTGAATCTTGAATCTTGAATCCCGGAGTATTGAACTTCAATCCGGAGCATTGAACTTCAATACTCCTTGTCCCTCATCGTGCTTGACCATTGAGGCCTTGAAATTTAAGTACACTATGCACTCTAGAAACGTCTCTAGAGGTGTAGTATAAACATACAGATAATCAACCAGATATAAATAAAGGAAGAAGGAAAATATAATCAACACGCTGGGGCAAAGAAAACAAATTACGAACGAAAAAAAGAAATACGCAGTGCCAGAACAAGAAAAACACAAAACAAGCAGAAAAGGTGTGGATAACTGGGGGGGGGGTACCATATATATATATATATATGCATATATATATATATGTATATACATAGACATATACATATACATATACACATACATATACATATACATATACATATACATATACATATACATATATGATATCAGACGTAACATTCCGTAGCGTCATATCAGATCCAACATAATGTAGCATGGTCTTGTCTGATATGATATAGTACGGTATAGTATAGTTATCCAAGTGTTTACAAACCGGTACCAACCGGTACAGACGGGCACAAGCCGGTAGAAGATTACTGAGTGCTACTGAATAGTTATATCACCAAGTACTACTTTGATCAATGGTCCAGAAACTGACTTCTTGCATGCAGTTGTTCCATTACTTCCCGGGTTGCACAATTCCCAGTTCGGACGCGTCTAGAAACCCAGGTGAGCCGTTTCGCCGACACCCTCCGCCGCTCGAGCGAGAGCTTTCTCAAGGCCTGCTTTCCCTTTTCCAGGTCGTTTGGGAGGGCTCCGGAGCTAGGGACCTTCGGGGCTTCCAGGGCCCTCTCCAGAGGCGCAGGAGTACGCCCGGGACTGGGTGGAGCGGATGAACGGCGAGCAGTCGATCACCGACCTTTGGAGCTGTGAGGCGATGTTGGAGTTTTTGGGGCTTTTGTAGGGTTTGGAGATGTTTGGAGGCCTTGTAGGGGCTAGTCGGGTTTAGGGTGGAGTTCGGGATCTCGGGGAGACCCGCGAATCGCAGAGAAATCCTCGCAGCTTTCCGGGGGCCCTTTTCCGCCTTCTTATCATCTCGATCTTTGGGGGTTTTCTCAAGAGAATGCGACAGAGGGGCAGCTGCTTTTTCTCGGGATTGTTTTGCACGCCAGAGATGTGGGAAATGAGCATCTTGAGCATCTTCCTCTCTGGGAAATGCCACCCTGAACTCCTAAACCCTAAACCCTGAACCCTAAACCCTAAACCCTAACCCCAAACCCCAAACCCTAAACCCTAAACCCTTTCATTCTTGCCGCCAGGTGGCTCCCGAAGTCGCACCGCTGCGTTCCTCCTCGGACCACCCGCAGACCCTGCGCTGCTATGGGGGGGGTTTAGGGTTTAGGGTTTAGGGTTTAGGGTTTAGGGTTTAGGGTTTAGGGTTTAGGGTTTAGGGCTTGCGGCCGTTTGTTTTGTTATTTTGTTCGGGTGGTTGTTTCAAGGTTTGAACAAGATGTGAAAACAGAGATTGGCAAAGGGCCCATGATTTAGATCGGCCCACTTGGCTTAGCGGTTTCATTTGTCGGTTCTTGGGCTGGAAATGCTTGAGCTCCAGGTTTGGGAGGGGCTTTTCCCTTCTTCAGATGGCTCCCAGGGCCATCTTGAGCCACACATATTGCGGCGGTTCTCAACATGCTTCAATGTCCCTATGACCGCTCCGCACCCCAAACCCTCAACCCTCAACCCTCAACCCTCAACCCTCAACCCTCAACCCTCAACCCTCAACCCTCAACCCTCAACCCTCAACCCTCAACCCTCAAACCTCAACCCTCAACCCTCAACCCTCAACCCTCAACCCTCAACCCTCAACCCTCAACCCTCAACCCTCAACCCTAAACCCTAAACCCTAAACCCTAAACCCTAAACCCTAAACCCTAAAAAACCCTAAACCCTAAACCCTAAAGCCAAAACCTTAAACTTTAAACCCTAAACCCCAAAACTGAGAGATTGCGTCAAGGAGCCTCGGCTGGCTGGAGGCCACCAGACACGTCCTCTTTTGCAACATGGCGCCAAAGAAACGTTTCAGCCAGGTGGTGCCAGGAGGCTGAGCCCTTGAGGCTGTCAATTTTCTATCTGTTGGTAGGATTGGTCGGGATTTTGGCAATAGAACTTAAGCCTAAGCAACCTAACGCCCGAGCTTGAGAGTGCCACCATGAGAATGCCACCATGTTGGCAGGGGGTGAAGGGTCTGGAAGGGTCTTGAAGGGTCTTGGGTGACAGCCTCTGACAGCCAGATTTTCGGAGCCCTCGATAGTGGGCTCCACGTCTTGAAGATGGCACATCGCGAGGGCTCATCCGATGTGCCCGAAGGGTCCATGGAAGGTTTCAACACCCTTATAGTTTGTAGAATCCCATTGAACAAACCCGCGTATTCCACAACTTTCTGGACCCTTAGCCCACGCAGTGTTTTCTCGCGATCTCTACACGTAGTGTCGCGACATGTCTTGGTCAATACCGTCATCGTCTCCTAGAATTAGAGACGTTCACCGTTCACATGCCCCGAAAGGGGTAGGTGCGCATTTCTGAGGTGTGTGCAGCTTTTAGGTTCCAGAAGGCAGGAGCAGAACGAAACTCGTTCTTGCTATCCGAGATGCCGGATACTAGGGCTTGCAATACCAGAATGGACGATTGGATCCCAATAGATGGAAAAACCAACGCGCCCCTTTGGCGCAAATCCTCCCATATCTACGATATGGGATATCGAGATTGAGAAATATATTTTCTGCCATCTGAAATAGATGATCTCGATGATGATTTGGTTGGTTATTGGAATCTCATTTCGAAATTCACTGGTTGCGACCTTGCTGTCTTGAAGACCCCCGTCATGGGCTCCCACGCATTCTTGGAATCGTTCATGGCTGCTAAAACCAATGAGGTTCAGGAATTGGTTGAGGCTGTTACTCAATTGCCCCATAGACATGTTGCTTTCCATATCCTCCAGCAATCTCTCTATCTTTCTTATCCTTTCCTTTCGCTTTGCCACCCTTCAGTCCCTTTTCTCCTTTCTCGCCTTTGTTGCCCTTGTTGCCCTTGGAGCCTTTGTTGCTCTTGTCTCTGTCGCCCTTTCCGCCCTTGCCACCCTTGAAGGCATTCGCATACCCGGATGCTCCTTCTCTCTGGAAGTCCATCACACGAAGCTGCTCATCGTAAAACTGCAAACCGGTCATCAGCTCACCCATGCTCTTTGTTGAGTGATGGAGGAGCAGATATCTCTTGGTCTCAGAATCCAAGTGCTTCATCAGGCACAGGACTCCCTCTTGTTCTCCGATGAGCAACTCCGGGAAGCGATGCTTCACCTGCGCCTCAAACTTGAGAAGCTCGGTGGTGTACCACCTGGCGACATCAAGTGGTCGCTTGAGATGCTTTGGTGGCACCAGGCCTAACGCCTGTTCGCGGAGGGCCTGTCCCTCCACTCTGGAGCGAACTGACAATTCGTTGTTCAACGAGCGCCAGAGTTCGTATCCGGCACTTGCTCCCATTTGTTTCACCTCGATGAGATGCGCCAAATCTTGCCCACGTTGGAACTTGCTCATGGACTGACGAAGCAAAAACCAAAGTTTGGTTGACCGGGCTGCTTTCCCGGCTTCAAGCCTCACTTGCAAGACTTCCACATTGCTACTGATCGCTTCTTGCAATTCCGTAGCGTAGCGGTCGTCGAGCAAACAAAGCCAACTCGTAAGTTCGTCTCTGTAGGCTGTCCAAACTCGGATTTCAGCATGTCTGCTCGTCATGGACGCATAGTTCAGCTGAGGCAACTGTGGAATGTAACCCTCTGCTCTCTTGTTTCGTACACCAGAGTCTACTTCCATGTCCACAGGAGTCGATGGATTCGCAGGTGCTGCTGAGGGGTCTCCTCCAGGTGTAGGACTCGTCGACGATGAAGCTGCAGCTGCTGCAATATGCGCATTGGCAGCATTCGCACTTGCAAGCTGCAATGCTTGCGTAAGCATGGCACTCATCTGTTGAAGTTGAGCTGCCTGCTGTCGGATCTGCTCGTCCTGCGCTTGCAGCATTGCCCTCGTGAACTCCATCTGTTGAGCTACTCCAGGTGCAATGGGCAACTGTGTATTCGGAACTTGAAGGGGTTCTTGTGGTGCTGTCTGAGGGGGTGTTCCCATCTGGTAGAACTGAGGTCCAAACGAAGGCACAGCCCCGACTGGTGGCTGATGGCCTGCTCCAGTCGTAGCTGTCCACTGCCTTGGGTCTACTCCGCGTGGAACTGAAGTTGGTCGCGCTGGCAAAGACCTTCCACGTTCTCTTCTCCCACGGGCACTTGGTGACCTTGCACCAGTAAGCCCTGTGGAACTCAGGCTGCTTGCACTGCGGCCTCTTGGAGAACGGTCTCGTCCAGGCACACGTTCTTCACTATTGTCCATGCTGGAGCACGAGGCTCCGCTACCACGTTGAAACTCGTGGTACAGCTACGGGGGCCTAAGGGACCTCAGGTCAAGACTACACTCAACCCTCACAGCACGAAGTGCGGACTCTTTTCACTGCGCTGTTCACAGCTTCTCGAGCTCCGCTCGTCTTGAGCCAATGCGAGTACGGCTCTCCAGCTTCAAACACTGTCTGCCAGACATGGGACAACAAAGGTACTTCAGGTGAAAACACTCAGCCATGGAACTTCTACTCCTAAACACTGTGGGTAGGTTCCTAGCACCTCTTAGGTGCTCTGCTGAGCTCTGTGCAGACCTAAACTGGCTTGAGTCACTTCTGGTCATCAAATACCAGGTCACAAACAGGAAACGAGTTCCGACAAACGAGTTTCGAGAAAACGAACAGAAAACGGTTCTTCCCACTCAAAACAAGGTCTCACCAAGCCAAGAGAAATCTGCACTGCGGTGACATGTCCCTCGTGCCTATGCTTCACACTCATAGCAGACAACTCAAGTGCACATCACGTGTCAACTGGGAAACTAGGAGGGTCACATATATCAACTGATGCGGTCAGAGAAGCAAGTCTCAAGCAAACGCTGGCGTGATTCCTTTTTGCACCGTTGTGAATGATGTGCAATAGACCTGCTATGCCCACAGAGTTGCTGAAGTTGACTGTCGCGTGGGCGTCTTCCTCGTGCTCAACAGGTGGTGCCAAATCGTGGTCATCAGCGCCAGCGGCGGTGTCGAGATGTGCAACCCAGAGCAACACCCTTCTCACCAAGACTGGAGGCACGTTGTGTAACCCCATCTCGTGGCCCACATTTCAGCCTGAAGCTCAACTTCCCGATCATAGGTGTCTGCCAGAACCTCATCTTCCATCCTCTCCAAGTAGCCAATGTCGGACTACGGTCCTTGCATGTTCTCGCGCTGTTTGCAGATGCGAAGCTCTTGTTCAGAACCAAGCACAGTATTCGTGCACTTATTTTATCTTATTTCACCCTTTGAAGCTGCGTTTCTACCTGAAGGACCGGTTGACCCAGCCAACGCCCAGTTGTGACTTCAGATACGCTGCAACTTGCATTTGTGCCGCAAACTAAATTATCCAAGACCAATCTTTCCGACGATTTGGCACCCGGACCACTGCTATCGCCAGTGTACCAGCCGCAGAGCGCCAATTCTTCTGCATGTGAATGGCTTCTTTGCTGAAATTGCAAGAAGCTTCAGCAGCAAGGTGCTCTGCCCCTGGCATGCGCCCCTCAAATAATCAAGGATTCTTGTTTGGGTCGTCACCGTGTCTTGCGGTTGGGTCGACTGGCACCCCCAAAGTTCTCTCCAACGCAGCACCAAAAAGGTCTGCGCAAGCATTCTTTCTCAAGGACGTTATCTGGATCAGCTCAAAATCAAAATGACCCTGAGGACGAGTCAATCATTTGAGGCACAATGCTGAACTTCTGCGCCAAGCTCTGAATGTACGTCCATCCAAAGATCTTGGATTTTTGCCGGACTCCGACTAAAAACAAGTGCTCGGGCAAAGGGTCTGGAAAACAGAAACAAGAACCATTTCGTGGCGGGCAATGATAAAAGTATGGGCACCACTAGGTGGCAGCTGTTCGACCGGTTTCGCAAAGACCTGAATATCTGTAACATTAAAATAGTACAGATTGCCATGCAAACACTCAGTTCCGAAAACCGATGCTAGAAGTTGTACTCATTCGCTGGCACTCATTTAGAACAGCTCACGCATTGTAAGCAAAACCGGCATCCAACTGCATTACCTCCAGTACCTTGATCAGCAGCACAACACCATGAGGACCACACCACTGGACAGTCCACGCATCAAGCTTCACGACCTGACGGTTTGAGTTTTCGATTTAGGATGCAAAAGTTTGGATAGGCTGCTGAATCACAGGGTTTGGGAAATCTCTGCAAGCTTTAGTGAAAGCTTCCACCCAAGTTCAGAAAAAAAAAACAGCTTGTGACGCCTCAACAATGCAGCCTCAAGTTTCAGGATTTAAGGCAGGATTTTTGGGCGTTTTGGGCATTTGGGTTCGGTTATCGGCTCCAGGCCAGACTTGACCTGGCCGGTAGCACTGGTAGCCTTGTAGTCGGAGTATAAGTTTGAATTCTATGAAAGCTGATTTGCTGGTGCAAACACGGAGAGAGAAGCCACTTTTTCGGGAATACATCTCTGGCCTCCTCGAATTGCACCACCGTTTGCAACAAGAGTTGCTTGAACACCTTGTAGGGCAACCTTTGTCGGCGAGTCAATGGCTTCAAGCTAGATTGCCAATCAAGTGGGGGGGCTTGGGGCTGCTGAGTTCACGATATGAGGTTGGCATGCGGATCTTCCATGTCGCTGATTTGGCCTACCTCACGGCGCGACATCGGAGTCATGCCCATATCAATCGGTTGGTGCCAGGATATACTCCTTCAATTGCTAGAGATTTCGAAGATACTGCTCGACAACACCTTAGTGGTTTCTTTCCGACTGATCAGGAAGATTTTTACAACCCTTCTCAGCCCATCGATCAAGCTGCTAAGTTGCAACAACTGTACGAGACCGTCCACCAAGATCTTCTCCAAGGGAGTTGTGTGGCCCACCAAGCGCGGCTTCGAGCTGTCGCCGCACCCGGAGCAGGGGCATGGCTTTATGCCACTCCTTCACCCACCC